ATTCTGGTTGGATTATATCAAATTTACACCTTCCCGGGCCTTCATTGAAAGTGTTGATGAAGACCTCTTGACTTGAATCATCCCCAACCAATTCAGCGGCTTTTCCTTCTCGTTTCTGCGTTTCCAGAGGAGTTTGATCTCGATTTAGATTATAAAAAATAAGAAGGATTCCTGATTCATTAGGGAATGTTTTGGGATGATTGGTTTGGCTTGAATCGCTTCCCAGCTCGCCACCCAACTGCCCCTCTTTCCTGCTCTGTTTCTTCGGGAGGACTGGGAGGTCTGCGGTTGACGTTACCAGATCGAGTCGCGCATCGGTGGTCAATTTCGGGTCTTCTCCTCACTCTCCCATCGCTCCTTCAACATCTAATTCATCATCTTGGGCTGAATCGAGCGTCGTTTTTCCTTCTTCTTCGTTGGATGAGCTGCCGGAGTCGGCGCTCTATTTTGTCGCTGCAAAACAGGGGTCACTGCAGGGGTTCTGTTCCAGCGGCAGAATTGCCTTGGGCAGCTTTCGAAAACTCATCAAACTTAACCCAATTCGTCGTTGAACCCACAACTGAGCCCAAGGCTCCTTTCCCTCAATCGATTCTCCTCCATCTGCATCAAATCGTCATAAACTTCATCCGACGAAAGAGGTTTCAGAACTATCTTCCTGCCGTGATGCCGGAATTTGAACTGATTGTTTCGACAATGATGAGAAACTTCGCGATCAAATTTCCACGGTCTTCCTAGAATCATATGAACACAATTCATCAGCACAACGTCACAATTTACCTCGTCTTCGTAACAACCGATTGAAAAACGAACCACCGCTTGCTTCGTGATATTAATTATACCGTGTTCGTTGATCCAGCCGAGTTGGTAAGGCTCTGGATGCATTTGCGTCATTAATCCAAGCTTCTGGACAGCGTCTAGGCTGATAATATTTGCACAGGAGTCTCTGTTGATCACAAGCGATAATAATTTCCCATTCACAACGCATCTGCTGTGAAATAAGTTGTCTCTCTGCTCGTCGAATTTTCGATGTAGAACTCGAGCTGCTGCCCGCGTCTCTTGGCCATGAAATTTCAGATTCTTGGCCTCTCTACGACCTTCTTCCATCGCCTTTACTTCCAATGAATATTCCATCAAAATTCAATTAAAAAACAGCAGCTCCAAGGTACGTATAGGGGTTGCAATGTTTTGAACTCGAATTTTGCTTGTACAAAAACAGTCGATTGCTTATTCTTCTTCGCCCTTGTGTAGAACGGGGCTCCTGGGGGTATATTTTTATCAAATTAACACAACAAACAATCAATCCGAAGATTGATTGAATTCCAATCAAGAACAACGCGTTCTTAATAAGAAATTGGGATAAAACTGAACCAACGGACAATTCCACACATGGGGAAAGCTCGTATGATATAAAAGGGTAGCTGCTTGATCACGATTGACGAGAATATTCAATCGATACAAAGCTCACAAGCTTGGAATCCACCAAACTCAAACAAGTCGCAACTTGCACAAAACCAAAGGTTTGTTTTTCGATTAATCAAAGTCTGAATTTTTACAACGAAAAAAAAAGGTACTTAAAGGCAAATAAAACCTAATACAATCCTAATATAACAAGGAAACAATTAAAATAAAATTCTACACTAAAAAGGTCACAAAATTCGGGTTTAAACTCCCTTTCTTGAAGCTCAAGTAAGCTGCCAGCAAACAGTCAAAAAGCAGCTTTCGTACTAACTTCGCGCCTTTCGTTCGAGGCCTTCCAGAACTCCAATCTTTCATCCAATTCCTTCCCTTTGTAAATAAACATACCTAGTTTCATGTTGTGGAAGCCTTTGAACTTGAATCAGATCCATACTCCTCGAATTAAGCTCCAAAGTAGGCTTCACAAAACAGTTTCCAGAGTTTTGAGGTAGCAAATTTGAGGCCTTGGAAAACAACCTTAATGCCATCTTCTGGATCCACAAAGCATATAATTAGAAAGATGGTAACTTTATGTTTAAAACAAGATCTTGATATCCCATTTTCATTGAGCCATTTGTGAGATACAAGCTTCCAAAGTAGGTACCATGAACACGGATTTTGACTTAGCCAAATTCTGCCCTTCTTTCCAACTTCGATAGCTTCTTCGCCAAGTAATTTAAACGTGTAGAGTTGACCATTTGGGATCATATCAATTACATTGGTCCATTAGGTTGCAAATCGAACTTTTTAATGTAAACAACTAAACAATTATTCATAAATTTATCACTCAACTGATACCAACTATCATTCTTGATTAAGCTCATATATGAAAAATGTCATTTTGTATCTTGCAGTTGCAAGAGGTAAAATAAACACTAATTTTATATGGGAAAGCTGGAAGGGTGGCCACAAACGTCAAAGTGGAAGTTTGAATGAGAATAAGGATGTCGTCGACGTCGACAATTGGAGGGCAGCGACAGGCATCAATGTGGAAAACAATAACTAACCTAGAAAGTAAGTTGAAAATTTACTTACAGAAAAATATATGGAAGAAGGTATGAGGAAAGACAATATGAAATTTACTATCTAATTACTTGACTCAACCAGTTTATCAATCAATATAATTATCATTTAAATTACCAAGGTTATCTCTAAGGTGATAGCTATCTCTCTGAATGCTCACTATGTACTAAGTAGCCAATTAATTGTTTTCTCCTGTACAATCAACTAATTAACTACTTAGTCTGAAGTCCGATAACTTACATAGTTTAATAACATTATGACAACACAAATTTTGTAATATAATAAGGTGTGTTGGATACAATTATCGAATGTGTTTCGGAGGTCCCGTGTTCGAATTTTTCATACAAAAAAAAAAGGGATCCTCACAAGAATTTCGGACGAAGGAGTTTCGGGTTTCACGCCTTCCTTAGAGGTGGGTCCGCCCCTGACGGTGTTATAAGTTTACATTTTTAACTAAATATTATATCCTAGACTTTGATGCTTGGAAATCATCCCATTTATCCAAATAATATTGTCCAATATTTCTCCACGCTCTGTATGCGTAAAATTGTCATGTCATATGATATCAAGTTTTAGTTACAGAAATAATGTGTTGTTTTATGATAACAATTTACTCAATATGTTCTTTGTCTATTGTACATATTTTACTCTTGGACATTTATAGGCAAACTTATAAATTCAAATTTTAAACATTAAAAAAAATCGTTTCACTCACTAAGGTGATAACATAAGTTTTCGTTGAAATAGTTTCATTTCAAACACATACTGACTCGCTTTCATCAAGTCTTTTGAATAACTAATACTATCTTTCTCAACTCTTCTCGAATTTCAAAAGACAAGAATCATAAGTGTTCAATCCATTTCTTTCATGCTAGATTTTTTCAAATAAGTTGCACATGACACAAATACCTTCTTTAGATTCTTATTAATGAACTTATCGAGACGCAAACTATATCATATTGTGAACTTGAGTAGCCAACTAAATATTTGGTCAAGAAAGATATTAACTGCCTTAAGAAGAGCAGAATAACCAAACAAAAGTCAGCCATTTGTGTTTCTTCAAACTCTAAACAGTTACTGTCACAAGTGTCGCACATGCTCAATTGCTAATGCATATCACTACCCATACATATAGAGACTCATGGAAAAAATCCTAAAATACACATTTTTTTTTATAATCCAAAATACATGCATTTTATAAAAAACTTCTCAATCTACACATGTTTGGGCAATACGGTGAATGCATTCACCGTGACAGATGAAAGTAGTGAATGCATCACCACGGTTGACAACCGCGGTGAAGGCTTCATCGCATATGTCGGTCGCAGTGAAGGTTTGACCTAAGGCTGAAACTTCAAATGAACGTAACTTTTCGCTTGCTTATCCAATCGTAGCGAAGTGTCTTTTGATTCCGCATAACTTTTCAAGATCTTTTAATCTGCAACTCGCCTTCATCCCCAAAAAGTGTCGTTTGCTACCCCGAACGATTAATTTTTTTATTTTAACTTTGGAAGGTCATAACTTTGTGCTGCTCAATCCAAAAGTCATAAAGTTTTTTTTATTGCGCATAACTTTTTAAGAATTACAAGTTTTACTAGGAAATAATTTTCAAAACAAGAAATATTTTAAGGATATACGAAATTTTGAGAATAACTTTACCTTTACTTTTCACAAATACATAAATTCCAAAATTATGGTTATGATCAAAGTAGTAGTCCTTAAAAAGTTATGCGAAATCAGAAAACATTTCATGACATTCAGATTGCGGAGCACAAAGTTATGGTCTTCCAAAGTTTGTCAAAATCGAAAAATTGCTCGTTCGGTGTAGCAAACAACATTTTTTGGGGTTGAATGAGGGTTGCAGATTGAAAGATCTTGAAAAGTTACACGGAATCAAAAAATAATCGTTATGATTGGATAACCGAGCGCAAAGTTACGTCAGTTTAAAGTTTCAGCCTTAGGTCAGACCTTCATCGCGACCGACAAACGCGGTGAAGCCTTCACCTCGACCGTCAACCGCGATAATGTATTCACCGCTTTCGTCTGTCGAGGTGAATGCATTCACCTCGATTGACGGCCGGGTGATGTCTAAATATGTGTAAATTGGAAATATTCATAAAATATGTGTATTTTGGAAAATTGTTTAAAAAAGTGTGCATTCTGGGGGAAAATCCCAGATTCATTAACGTGGTCTATGATTACAAATATCTCTTTCTGCACATCTCGCCGGCCTCATTTTTCATGGAGTCCCACATTTCTATTTTCTTGCAGTCTCCAGCAAACGTGAATCCCACTACTCCAAAGCATGTTCAAACTAAATAAACAATAATGATCTCTTCTCCAACTTAACCACCATCCAATCCATCATCCCTATCTACATAATCGCCATGTAACCAACCTCCCTAATTCCCTTTTCAGTTTTCTCTCAGTTTGGTACACCATAACTGAAAAGCCTCTCCTGCAGCCATTCCTTCCACAACACCTCAGCTGCCTAACCAAACTCTCATGATCAGAACCTCAAAATGAAAGCATTAGTTGCCTTCAAAACCAAGCTTCTCACCCCATGCAGGAAACTCCTCCGTGTCTTCAGGTTGAAGCTCCGAAAACACCTCTCTATAAAGCCCCTCAAAGCCCTTGGTTCTGCTCATCGTCGTCGCCATAGCAGGGCCAGCTCGGCAGCACCCAAACCATCCACCTCCCTCCTCTCGTCCTTCGGTCGCCATAGAAAGATGGACAGAGTGATGGAGCTCAGGAGCACTGCATCTGAAGCAGACCATGACAGGAACAAGTTACTGACATCTCCCGTCACCCCGGCTTACATCAGGGCCTTCAGGTCCGGGAGCCGGTTTGGGGACGAAACCGTGGAAGATGCCTGCAGAAGCTTCGAGAACTACTTGGTGGAGATGATTGTTGAGGAAGGGAAGATGAGGGACCTGATGGATGTTGAGGACCTTCTCTACTGCTGGAAGAACCTCAAGTGCCCTGTTTTCATTGACTTGGTCTGCACTTTCTATGGCGAGCTCTGCAAGGACTTGTTTGCTCCGGATCATGATGAAATCGAAATTCACACAACGAGTTCGCCCAGCTAGTACTAATTCTTTCTTTTTCTCCATTTCTTCTTCTTCTACTTGTCACTCACTACTAGTCAAAGTATGCTTTGTTCTCAAAGCAAATTTTTTTACTGATAATAGTCTATAGAACTAATTCAAATCAACATTGTATTCGAAGAAACAGGGAAATGGTGCTGTAATGTACTCAAGAGTAAAATTGATAGCAATGTCCTCCCCATTTAAGATCATGGCCACAAGAAGAGTACAATGAGCTCATTGGCAAAACTGGCAAGTACTAGTCGATATATATTTACAGTTCAACAAGTGCATATAAGGGCGTTTACTGGAACTGATGACAGACTAATATTATAGAATGGCTATCAACATATGCAGTTGTTTTTCTTCTTACGCTAGCTACTATTGACGCACTCTGGAAAAGTAACTCGTAACTAGCTCGATTATAGAGTATATAAACACATTTAATAACAAGAGATGAATAGCAAGCTTCTCGAAGTTACCCGTGCCAACAAGAGCATCTCCATTTCAGGCATGTTATAGGAGAATGAATCATCTTCGTTTCGAAAGATAAACCCGAGATTTAACCAAATTGTCCCCAATTCTGAAGCCAGGCATGACCATGAATTCAACTTTACAGTTGACTTCTGTATTCTCTTCAACAGATTCCATATAAACCTCAGAGAATTCACTTCCTCTGCTTACTGCAAACACCTTAGCCTGGGGATCGATCGATGTGGCAATTCCATGTAGAACCCAAATCCACTTTGCCATTCTCACAAAGATTTGGTACAATGGTGTTCTCGGATGCTTCCCACTAATCACCAGCATCCTATGATCCAAATTCCTAAAGAAACATATCTCCATCACCGGATGAACAATGAACAGGTACTTTTTGCCACAGAAGTTGGCAAACCCTGAATTAGGATTCTCTATCAGAGACTCGATAGGATCATCATACCTCATAACATCACCGACATCACACAATTTGAGCGACATCCCATGAAACATTCTCCGAGAAACATATGCTTCAAATGCATACTTCTTGTGCGACCTTTTGGAGTAAGTTGCCCCATTTACAACTGCATAAGCAGCCAAGTCTAGATCCCACCCTGAAGCTTTCATCAGGTTAATCATCGGCTTTGCGAAATCATGAATCGAATTACAAGCCAATCTGAAGATTTCCTCGAACATTGCAGCATCTATAACCTTCCAACTCCTTTTCTCCAAGATTCTTGCTTTGATTGTCTCGGCCAATTGTAAATTGGTAGTGGCCAAATCATGAAATTCTTTCCTCAACCGGGCAATCTCAGCATCTCTAGCCCCAGTTTGGGCCTTCAGTTGCTCCAAGACCCTCTCTTTAGCTTCAACTTCAGCTCGCAGAGAGTCTAAACGGGAAGACTCGAGCTTCGATTTCTCAAACTGCTTCTCCTTAACTGACCTTCTAATGTTGCAGAGAGTTCGGAGCTGAGACATGACGATTTCATCCGCAGCTACAATCTTGTCAGGGTTATAAGGAACATGAGCTTCCTGAAGCTGAATATATGCCAATTTCAGAGCTGAAACTGAATCAAACAGCGTAAGGAGATCCTTGTCACCGCCGGTCAATTTCCCACTCTTGCTAGCAGGCTGAGAACGAGCTCCATCCTTCCTACCAACACGGCCGGAACCTGTTCTCCCAGTTGCATCACTGCTGCTGCTCTCACCCATCAAGTGAGGCTTGCGAATGCCCGTGGGATGGGTCTGGCTATGTGGGTTTTCGCCGGAGAACACACCGATGGATCTCAATCTCCAAACTTTAGCAATCTTGGATACCATCTCCACCGTTATGTTTGAAGAAGGTTTTAAGGGTTTAGCGGGCGAGCACTCCATCCCTCCCTTTGCTTGCTCAAAACTCAAAACAACTATAATAAAAATCTGCAGTTGCAGATCTAGGAATGATTTGAACTAAATGTGAAAAAATAAACGATTAAATGAACGGTTCCCGAAATTCCTACCAACAACAGCTAAGAAATTTCCCCGGGAATCCCGGCCAATTCCCTGAAACCCTGGCAAATGGGTAGTGATCGTAGTGCCCTAGATTAAAGAACTACTGAAAAGCTGAGCAGAAGCTAGAACCCGCCCCTGAGAAAAAGTTGAAAACTTTGAGCTTTAACTAAGAAACAAGCTCACACGGCACTTTCAACAAACACCTAGGACCCAGAACACAGAGACAGGCAAAAAAAAACCACCACCGCCAGTTGATCTAGCAGAAGGAAAGAAAGACGGAGTAGCACAATAGCAAGAAGCTCGACTGAAACCTGAAGCTCGCTTGAGTTGCAGCGGCGCTGAGCCTTGATGAATGTTCTGGAGACGAGATTTTTAGGATCAAGAAAGTTATTGATGGTAGTGCAAAGTTCCGAAATTATTTTGCTTTCCAAGAGAAAAGAGACAAAGACAGGACGAGAAAGAGGTGGAGACACGGGTTGTGGTGCGGTTGTTGGTGTTCTTGGTGTGGAAACGTGGGCTTCTGGACTTTGAATTTTCCTGCTCCATTCGTTGGTTTTTTCTCTTCCTCCTCCCTGAAATGATTTCTTTCTTTTGGGGAAGTGGGCGAAGTTGCAGAGTTTGCAGAGGGTTTTTTGAATTCTCTCTCTTTCCCTCTCTGAATAAAGTACGGTTATTAGTCAACTTGGTCACTTATTTATAACATATATACAATTTGCTCACTGAACTATCTTTTTTCGTTGAATACTCACTAAATTATCTTTCTGCCAAAAAGTTATTTAACTACGAACTCCAATTTGACGAAATGGACATTCAAAATCTCTTAAAAGAATCGGTTGAAAGTGTCATCAAACATTTTTCAAGAGCCTTTGAACAAAAATTCGACAAAAGAATTTCGTTCACAAGCTTTCCACTCAGGATATATTAGAATAGATAGAGTTGAAGGATATTTTTCATAGTATTAGTATCATCATATAATTAGTTAGGATTAGTTTGTATGTATAAGTTAGAGTTAGGAGTTGATTGTAATTAGTCAATAGCTTCGTTGTAATTCTGTTACGAAACAGATTCTCTCTCTCTCTCTCTCTCTTTTCAACGGTCACTTCCTCTGTATAAATAAAGTAACTGTGATAGACCATTGATTGCACATGTTTTTACTCATATTCTTGAGCCGTTTTGAGATGTCGATTCTCGCGTTTTAGGCCGATTTCACGCTAGGTTGTTCTTGTTTGTGATATTTCAGGTCCTAGCACGTGAATGAAGGCTTGGGAACGAGTTCGGGCTCGATTAGACGAAGATTGGACGTTTGGCGAGAAGCTGAGGAAGCCAGACGGGCACGCCTAAAAACCCACACGGTCGTGTGACCTGGCCGTGTGGCACCAAATTGCACAGGCAAGCCACACTGGCCGTGTAGGGGACCCATTGTGGCTGTGTGAAGGCTCGGTGATTTCCACACGGGCAGCCTGGGAATCCACACGGCCGTGTGGCCCTGGCCGTGCAGCATACCTGGAAGCCCACTAATCGAAACGTCGCGTTTGAACACTCACACGGGCAGCTGGGAAAGTCACACGCCCGTGTGGCCTGGCCGTGTGATCGGGAATTTCTGGGTTCAATTTCGAGCCAAAGGAGAGGGGGAGCTCGGTTTGGATCCCAAACACCCTAGGGACAAACCAAAGAGAGAGAGAGCGATTTGAGGGCATTCTTGGATTGGAATTGGAGGATTTCTTCGCCTTGTAAGCTCGAGGAACAAGCTCGGACTTGAAGACTGATCATCTGAAGATTCTTACTGCAGTCTCTCTCTTCTCTATGGAGTAACTTCCCTTCACTTAGGTTTTGAGGAACCCTAGCTATGTTTGTTTGATTGGATGATTGTATGAGTACTCTTACTTGATAATCTTGAGTTCATATTCAATCTATGCATGTTTTCATGATTCAATTCTGCTTTAGTCGAGATTATTGATTCTGCTTTGATCCTATGAGAGCGAATACCTGATTAGGTCAATAGAGCATCATAGATTGATATTATTGGATCGATTGCTTTAGTCGAGGGTTGATTCAATGCTTTGTATCGATTGAGAACCTCATTCGATAGAGGGAATCTAGTTCAGAACACCTTGATCGGTTGTTCTAGAGAAGGACACATCCCTCTAGACAATTGACTCAAGAGGGCCTTGATCATTTAGTCGAGATTCAAGGTTTAGTCAAGGATTCTCCGCATTGTGAATGAAAGTGAAACAAGTTAGAGATCATCAATCATTAATATGGATAGTGGCTAGGGGGAATCATACCTAAGTGAGTTCCCAACCTGTAATTAGATTAACTTTAACTGTAGTTTGTTAGAGTAGTTTTAGTTCTTCCATCTTAATCTAGTTTGCTAGATAATGAACTGAAGCTCAATAATAGTAACTCTAGAGACCCGTGGATTCGATATTTATTACTTGAGTCACTATACTGCAGTCCCTTTCATTGGTTACACTTGGCCATTGTTAGGAGTTGTGTCAGAGCGAGTCAAACCGACTATTGACATTGTATGAATTTTGTTTTGAGTAAATGATCAATTGAAGATATTACCCGTTGCTAATATATCATAGCAGAAATATCTCAAGCTTCTTCTCGTTTCTAATTTTCCCCAATTTCTTCTTTTCCTATTTCTACAACCCTAAGTTTGTTCTCCTATGGCGACTTTTACTGATTTTTTTTTGTTCTAGCAACGATGCCATCCCTTCTATTTTCTATGGGAAATCCTCACACTGGAGGATCATCGCACGACTTGCACACGATTACCTACAAAGATGTGCCAATTTCAACCCATCGAACCCATTCTTTATTCATCCAAATGAGAATTGGGGGAAGTGTTTAGTGTCTCAACCTCTCACTGAATTGAACATATCTAACTTGAAAAGATCGATGGTTCTAGTTATTAACGGCAAAAACAAGTTGGGATTTCTTAATGGCAAGATCTCACCTCCATCTGAAGGATCTCCTCTGTTTCAGCCTTGGAGCCGAAACATCAAGCTGCTTCTGATCTGGATACAGAGATATGTTAATCCAACGATAGCATATAGTCTTATGTACTTTACCTTTGATGTTGTTGCCTGTAATGAGCTCCCGGAGCAATATTCTCAAGGATATCCTTCCATATTGCTGATCTACAAGAATCCTTTTTTTTTCTTCCTAAAGCAAGGACAAAATCCGAAAATGGCCAAGTTTCAAAAAAAAATCTACAATACCCCACTTTACAAAGTGTTCCCCAAAATACTCGAGTTTGGAGTTTTTCGCTAGGTAGTGATTCGCTTCACACTAGATCGAACCACTCAGATCACTAGTCAGCCTGCGCTCCACTCCTAATATGGCTTCATAATTTCAAATGGCCGTAACTTTGCGCTCAATTGTTCGATCGTAGCGATTGTTTTTATTACGCATAACTTTTCAAGATGTACAACTTTCAACGGTAGAAATTTCCAAAAGAAGTAATTTTATTGGAATTAAGGGGTTTTGAGAATGATCTTATATTTAATTTACACATTTCCACATATGAAAATAATCTATAGAAAAAGTTGTAGGCTTTAAAAAGTTAAACAGAATAAAAAAATTGTGATGATCAGACTACGGAGCACAAAGTTACGATCTTTCAAAATTTGGCGAAATCGAAAATGATGTTTGGGGTAGCAAATGGCATTTTCTTTTACGACAAAGGCGGAGACCAAACCGTTCTTGACAATTTGAGGCTTCGAAGATCTAGAAAAATTATGCGAAATAATAAAAATTCACTACGATCCGATAACCGAGTGCAAAGTTATGATAATTTGAAGTTTTAACCTAAGTAATTAGGAGTAGTTCGCAAGTGTGTCCAGCGATTCACCCTAGATTTGACACAGATCGCTCGGAACACCAGCGAAGTGCTCAAAAATTGGATATTTGGAAGACATTTTATTAAAAAAATTGTGGTATTATGAAAATTGTTTTTTACAAGTTGGCATTTTCTGATTTTGTCCGCCCTAGTACCCTTGACCATCTAACTATCAAATTTGAAACAGAAGAAAAAGAGTAGGAATTTCTTTGTGTTTATGGTCCTCAAGAACGGCGGGATAAACTTGAATTCCTGCAGGAGTTGAGCTGGGTTTGTGGTCACGTTAGATAGCCTATTTGCATTATTGGAAATTTCAATCTAGTCCGGTTAGAGGATGATTACAAAGGACAGGCCAGGGATAGTGACTTGATGGCAAAGTTCAACGATCTAATCAACTCTCATGCCCTCATTGATTTACCCCTCAAAGGAGCTTTGTTCACTTGGAACAGAGGTGGAGAGAGCAACTCCATGTCTCGGATTGATAGAGCATTGGTAAACCACATCTTCGAGACTTGCTTTGCGCCTGAGTCCGTCTTGGCTTTAGAGAGGGTAGATTCGAACCATAATTCGTTGCTATTACGATGGGATAATGAGGTGTAGATTATGAGACCTTGGAAGTTCCTAAATATGTGGCTTTTACATGATGATTTTCTGTCTCAGATGGTTGGTTGGGGGAGCATCCCGGTCACGGGGACCGGTTATCTGTTCAGATTTGGGCAACGTTTGAGAAGTACAAAGTTCATGATTAAAGGGTGGAATGCAGAGGTTTTTGGCAGAGTCGAAGTTAAAATTGTTGTGCTTAGAAAACTAGAGGACATTTCGAAATTGGAAGATCAAGGACCGTTGTTAGAAGATGTACAGGTGCAGAAAAGTCTACTGAGATGTGAACTAGAAAAAACTCTCATCGTGGAGGAAATTGCTTGGCGTCAGAAATCACGTGAGACATGGCTCAAAGTTGGGGATAAAAGCACGTCTTTTTTCCATAATGTCGCGAAGAGTAACCAACGAAGGAGCAAAATCCAGAATATCAAAGTGA